CTTTTGACTGAAATCTATTAATCATTCTACAAAGCACAGTGGTGATCTTAGAATTAAGACTAGGATAAGGAAATAATGCCTACCAATACTTATTCATTTATGACCCTTTTATTGGAGTCCACTGTTTAAGACGTCTTCTTTCCCTTGAGTTTATTAATTATTTTATTTCAGCCCAGAATGGCTGGCACCCCACTCACTGACGTCCATGAGAGTGTGTGGCTTCCATCCTGCTCCCATGCAAGCCAGTGGCTCATTGCTTCTCATGGTGGGGAAGCGGCAGGTGTTGGCTGTGATTAATATAAATGGGATAGACAAGACCTGGTAGTTCTCTCTACTTCCCACACTAACTAGACAAAGACTGTGCTCTCCCCGTACTACAAAGGGCAAAACTCCAATGGGCCCAATTCTGACCTCACTCACACAGTGTAACCCCAGTGGTTTGAGCATTGGCCTGCTAAACCCAGGGTTGGGAGTTCAATCCTTGAGGGGGCCATTTAGGAAACTGGGGTAAAAATCTGTCTGAGGATTAGTCCTGCTTTGAGCAGGGGGCGGGACTAAATGACCTCCTGAGGTCCCTTCCAACCCTGATATTCTATGATTCTATGTAACTGCAACAGAGTTACTCCTGATTCATACCAAAGTAATTGGGATCAGGATCAGTCCCTCCAGGCAGCTTACCACACCCCTTTTGTCCCCAAAAGAGGTTTCAAGTTCACTGTGCCCTAGAAAGGCAGGTTGCAACTGGCTGTCACAAAGTGGCTGAGGGAGACACACAGACAACCATTGAGTCTTTTCTTTCCTGCTAATTGAAAGATCTTATCAGCCCGGTCTCTCCAGGCACTAGCAATCATCACCCAGTGAATGAAATGCACCACAGAGAATTGGCTGGGACAGACATGTTCTGGTGAGAGAGATAAGCAAAGCGGCGGATTTGTACTGCCGTGCAATGTGAAATCCTGGCTTGGCGCACAATTGCTTGTGGCTCTCAAGGGATCAACTGTGCGGTGGGGTCAGAGCAGCAGCTATGAACCTTCCTGCTGTCGTAAACCTCCCAAAATCAACCCAGTCAGAAAGTGAGGGGGTGGGGGTCCCAGGGATGGAGGGCAGAGATCTGAGCAAGGGCACAGAGGGCTGAGATATGGTCAAGAAGCAGCCACAACTCCCCAGCTAGAATAACCAGTTCCTGCCCTGGCTCCACCCACCCCACCTCCCATGCAGCCCCTGATGTAGGGGGCAGAGGGCCAGAGCACTCTGGCAATCCTTGGTTGGTGAACAGCCTTTGGAGCCCACAGCCAGCCAGGGTAGTTCAGAGCAGCCCCTAGGTTGGCTTAAGTTACACGAGGGCTGGTGGGACTTGCCCCAGGATTGGGAAGCCACCCCACCCCCACCCTTCTGCTGGTTCATAGATGAGGCTCTGGCCCACAGACATGTAACAAAATTCAAATTCCAAATTTTGTGTTATTAAATATAGCCCCAAATATGCCAGTCTAAGTCTAGTGGTGAGCAGGGTCAGAACTATGAGGCTTTATAAACTGCAGGGAGCATGGGAGGGAGAATGAATTGGGAAGTGTGAAGACAGGGAATCCAAAGAGATGCTGATAGCTTCTGTCAGAGGCACCCAGTCATGCAAATGGTGGCGTAAGACACTTGAGCGTACTATCCTATAGTCATCACATCTCCACCCACAGGGTGTCAGGAGGAGAGTGTATCCTTATTCACGTAATTAGCGGAAGTATAGATGAAGCTGTAAAGATTTTCTTCCCAGAACAAATACATGCTCAGCAGAAATCTCTGCCTGGAACAGGGATATTGATGTAGCTTCCGGGAGGTAAGCGGGAGAGGGGGAGAGTGAACAGACAGCAAGTGTGAAAAATCAGGACGGGGTGGGGGGTAATAGGTGCCTATATAAGACAAAGCCCCAAATATCAGGACTGTCCCTATAAAATCGGGACATCTGGTCACCTGGGGAGAGGGTGACAGGACAAGGCATCCCCCTTCCAACCTGACAGGGAGGGGCGGGGGTGTGCAGATTCATTAATTTCTTTGTAAAGTGTTTGGGATCCCTGGATGGAATGTGCTAGGGAAGCATAAAATATTGGTGATTATTATCACTCAATGTACCTTAATTGTGCTCGATTTCTATTGTGAAGTAGCCAAGCTGTAAAGCACTATGGAAATCCAGCCTACCAATTCAGATATTAGGAGTCTGGCTATTGGAGGGGTAGCTGTGGTTCCAGACAGGAGCATGTTGGAGGTATATAAAATTATGAATAATACTGAGGCCACTTGTACTGAGCACAGCTCACTAGAGCAATCAAGCACATCCATTAATAATTCTTCCCCATATAATACAAGTGGAAAGGGAGGCATAAAAGAATACGCTATTTTTAAAAAGCAGCATATGATTAACCTGTGGAACTTGCTGCTGTAGGATGTTGTTGAGTTGAATAGGTTAGTAAGATTCAAAAATGGATTAAACATTTAGATGACTAAGAATAGTACCGGCCGGTTAGAACAAAAAACTACAAGGCCCATCAGTCCTCATGCATCAGGGCACAAACTGATCAGTAGCAAGATACTAGGAAGAAATTCCCCATCGGATAACATTTCAGAAAGCACCTTGTTGGTCAAAACATGTTGCCAGTTGGTAATACTGCTGTGAAACAACCTAAGAAGTCAAGATTGAACCGGTTCCTGTGACCTACTGTATCCAAGCCAGCCAGGAACTCTTCAGCTCAGAGCTAGTCTTACTTCACGCTGCAGATAAGCCTAATGCAGTACTAAAGACAGAATAATTCCTCTCATAGGCCTTTTCTATTGCACTTTATCCAGGCAGAGAACCAGTGGCAGTAGGGTGACCAGACAGCAAGTGTGAAAAATCGGGACAGGGGGTGGGGGGTAATAGGAGCCTATATAAGAAAGACCCAAAAATCGGGACTGTCCCTATAAAATCGGGACATCTGGTCACCCTAAGTGGCAGGATCTTTGCCCTCTTGTCGTGTCTTTGGGGAAATCCCTGATGCTTTTATACTGAGCATTTGTGAGAGCGGGCTCAAAGTCCCTTCCCCCACTGGCTGTTCAGCGATCTCCTAAGGATGTGGCAGAAGCCCCATGGCTTGGGACATGAGTCTGGACACCATGTCTAGGTGGGAACCATCCCACAGGGGGAGTTGGGATGGGCTGGATGGTCTAGTTTTCCTTCAGCAGAATCAATAGCCATAAAAGTTAGAATCGGCGACAATATGATCAGTTTTCGATAGCTTTGTTGGTGCGTATGGAGCTGTTGCCCTGTGGGTGAAGTGGTACTGAATCAGTCATGCTCTCACTGAGCTAACAGACAAGGAAAAGGGTGATTTCCATACCAGGGCGTGACAAAGAATTGTACCCTGCATTCTCTAACGTTTCCATTTATAAAGTTAATCCAGCCATAACATTCTTTCATTCATTCACGCACACACACCGAAGTGGGGCCTGAGCCAAAGCCCAATTGGAAAGACTCCCATTGTCTTGAATGGGCTTTGGATCAGGCCCTTGGTCTGAACACGCTGTGGCTTGCAGACGTCAGCTTCTGTGAGTCACAGTGAATGTGTCCCGCTGATTTCAGCAAATAGACACAACATTGTCCAGTAGTGCCCCCCACTGGCACCAGTTAAAACACGGGCAGTTTTGCTCTCTGAATCTCCCTTCCAATGCTAGGTATAAAGTTATGACTAGCCTGCCTGGAAGCAAGGAAGAATCCGATTCCTAAAACAGAAAATGCTGTTTTAAAAGACACATGTATACAAAATAATAAGAATATTTAACATTTCTAGAGTGTCTCAAAGCAGTTCACAAACATTACTGACATCACACTCCTTTGGTGAGAATGGGTTGATAAGAAGAAAATTATATTTCTGATTTTTGTGAGATTTCAGCGAAGGTTTTTATTGGCCATAGATTCCTCTAGTTTATATGATGCTTGCAGAAAAGCAAGTGCATCCTCTTGTTAATTCACTAAATTGTGCAATTGGTCATAATTGGCCAAATTATAAGATGCAGTAAATCTATAGATTCAGAAATGCAATTTAGAGGCAGAGCATTGTTGGGAAAAGGTTTCTCCTTCCAGTATAACCCAGTTGAATCTCAGTCATTCCTACCTCTCCTTGTCCTGCACGGGTGACTGCAAGAATATTCTGTTTACCTTTTTGTGTGTTTTCAAAAGGACAAGGCACTGCTCCTAATTCAGATGTCTTTGAGAACACCCTCCAGTCAAGTTCCAAAGTTAGCGATCTCTCTTGTTCTTGCTTTAAATTAGATGAGGTAGAAATACTGAATGGGGAAAATAATGGTGCCATGACTGAGGGAATTCTGAGCCTGGGTCAAAGAAATTCTCCTGGGAATAACTGCACAAAGCTCATAGCAATTTATTTTTTAAAGCTAGCAAACAAAAAATCCCCCATTCTGTTCAACTGAGGATCAGGCACCGGCAAAATATTTATGTCTAGAATGAGCAGTCATGTAAATGATACCTGTCTGATAAATATCAATAGAAATAACAGAGAGGGTAAAAATCAATAGACACATTACTAAGAAGATGATGTGGTTTTTCCACAGGGTTAGTCGATTTCGATACGCTGAGCAATTCCATCTCCAGTTGCATTTGGTCTTTCATGTAATTAGGTCCAAGAAAGATTTTCTAGGGAACTGGATTGTGAAGGCAAAACTTTTTTTTTCCTGAACCACTCACCCAAACTAGCATCTTAAGCAAGGTCTGATCTTTCAGTCCCTTTCAGCCAGAGAAACTCCTTAAAGAGAATATATTCATTGTAACCCTTTAAATGGGGGAAAAATCTCAGTAAAACCAAAAGCCTCTCCCATTGTCTTTATACTAAAAGGATGTCCTGATCTGAAGAAGCACCTGCATGCAGAGAGAGAGAGAGAGAGAGCGAGAGCCCTTGTGGTCCTCTGTTCCCCACTGACACAAAGAGAAGCAGTGCTGGTATTATCAAGCAATTGCCTACCTGAGGGTGTGTTGTCAGTAGCAAGGCTTCCTCTGATATGTGACTCTTCCACAGTGTCTCTGTCACAGTGGTGTGTATATATATATACAGTATACATACACACACACACACACATCCACGCATCTCCCGCCCCAGCCTACCACCACGTGCATCTATGAGCCCACCCCCAGGATGCTGGCTGGCTGACACGCTAACTAACAGCTGGGGAGCAGCACTGTGCCCTTAGCATCCCCCCCCCCCACCTCCCCCCCGAAACCTTTCCAGAAACAGTGTCACTTTGCAATCGCTTTACCGGAACCCTTTAACGTACCCGCCGTGACACCAGCCTGCTGCGGACGAGCAGTACCTCACGGTGTTACTCATTCTGAGGAGGTGCAGCAGTAACTGATGCTCAGACCTCCCGGTGCCAGCAAACTGCAGCACAGAACCCCAAAGCTACTCAATCAGAACCACCGCGTCCCGGGCAAGAGCCAAGGGAATCCCGGGTTTCCAGTCAGGACTGAGCTTCCCAATCCCCTGGCCTGCACCTCACTCACAGAGCACTTCAATTGGATCCAGAAGGATGAGGTGTGAACGTTTAGCACCTCTTGTTCTCCTCCCAGAGCTTGTATCATTGCATATGAAAAAACACTGACAGGGAAACTGCGTGGTGATGTGCAGAGAGCCCTGGACTGGGAGACGGGTTCTGTTCCAGTCACTTTATTGCGTTGTGCCTCAGTTTCCCTTTCTGCAAAAGGGGCTAACTGAAAGCGCCTTGAGATCTAAGGATGAACAGTCCTAGATAAACGCTTTGTGATTTTTTTTGTTTTGTTTGAGAGTATTATTAAGAATTCTTTGCCTTTCTATAAAGTTACCGGCAGCTTTCATCCAACAAGCTCAAAGTGCTTTATAAATGTATAAGCTTCACAAGACGCCTGTGAGGTAGGAAAAAGATTGAGAGGGATCAGTCCACCCACCACTGAAACACAGGCAGTGCTGGAATGGAATTCAGCAGCTGTTTAGAAGCACATGTGAACCTACCCAACAGTATAAGCCAGAGTGCTAAGGAGAATTCGGCATCCCACTGAAACTGCAAAGGGGAATTTTAGGAAGACAATAGCTAGAATTTTGCCAGACCATCGGGAATCAGTGGCATTTTTATGTGAAAAGTACCATGAGATCAAAGATACCAAAGGAACAGATCCTGGGTTTTCCACCTCTCCTGAAAGATGGTGCCTCCCATAACACAGCACCCTCCCCCGCCTGCACCTTGCTGGGGTGTTGGCTCAATACTAACTCAGGAAGGAGTGCCAGCTACGGAATTGCCAGCACTACTTCCTGCATCTCCTAGATGCTCTCTGGAGAGCTCCCATCCCACCCCATTCTAAGATCCAAGCACCGCCCCTCTTAGCCCACCCTCCAACCGTGTTACAACAGCATGTCATATCTATAACAGGCCATTCATGCAGCTCTCTCACGATATAGAGCAGTGACAGCAGCGGAAACACTCTCAAGGGCAGGAGGGAGAATGTGGGTGGGGATGTCAGGCAAAGAGGTAGTAATAGTGCAGGGCAAGAGTCTGGCCAACAGCCCACTTGCTACAGGCAGCGGAGAAGCATTGGGGGTCAGGGCTGTGTCATACAAGGTTTGGGATTCAGGTTCCCCATTTCATCCTGCTGCAACAGCAGCAGGCAAAGGATCAGTCTCTGCTAGTGGGGAAGAGGAGGGAGTGGGGTTGCCTAGGAGGGGCTGTAGCCATGTGTAGAAATGCAATGGGAGTTCAGAGCACCTGGGAGGCGGTGGAGATCTCTGTGGTTGTGTCCATGTGGACAGGTGAGCGTGATGCAGCACTCTGAACGGTGCAGACCTCCTGGGAGAGCAAATGAATGGGCCCTGCTAGCCAGATGTAGGCGAGTGCTCAGTACAAGTTGATCTTGCATCTGCAGAGCACCAACTGAATGTGAAGCCCCACCTCTCATTTGCTCTATAGGGAAATGCGGTCATCACTTGCCTCTCCCACGGCCTTGCCCCTGGTCTGAGGCCCACTGGGTGCCAAGCTGCTAAACAAGAAGCCTCTGAGCAGTTACCTGATCGTCTTATTTTTCTGGCTGACCTTGACTAGAGCCTGCGGTATCCAGCAGAAAATCCCTGCATCGGATTATTTAATCCAGCAACGATCACCATGGATTGTGAACAGACACTAGTTCCTGTGCAAAAGCAGCGAATGGATCTGAGCCTCCAAATTTAGACCCTGAAGAGCAGCACCAGGTAACTAAAATCCTTTTCTTCCCTAAGAAGCTACAAAGGCAGCTGACCACTGATATGAGACACACCAGCGAACATCCTCTCCAGACAGGTCGTTTGGAAAGTATGTCCCCCTGCCTTGTGAATGGCGTATGCTCAACAACCACTGAAAGTCAGAGAGCACAGGGATCAGCATGAGTCACTGGCCACTCAAGCTGAAACATCAGAGTGATGGTGCTGGAAACAAACCCCCATAGAGCAGCAAGAGCTAGACAAAGAATGGCAATCTGGTGGGTCAGATGAGAGAAGAACCTAACCACTCCTGATCAGCAAAGGTCCTTTAGAAGTGATCTCCAGAGCAGGCGAGTTAGTCCCATTTCCCTGCTGAATTCCAGCTCCAGCAGTTACATTCTGCTTTCTCTGATCCCCCACTCTGCTGTCTCGGTTGGAAATAAGATTTTTCTCTGGTTCCTATATTAACTGGTGTTGCTGTTTGTTGTGAAACAACTGCCACAGACCACCATGCTAGAGGTGGCTGCACCAGAGGCTGATGAAGTGATCTAGGAACTGTATTTGTGGGAAGTTGGGAAAGCACGTTGAGCTCCTTTAGGATGAAAGATGCTATAAATATGAGCTAGTATGCTTTAAATAGGTACTTACTGAACCTCAAACTAGAGGGGGATCACACACTATCTGGGTAGAGAGTCACTATCAAGTAGCTTCATCCCCAACGTTGACCTTCTTAAAATAGTTCATAATCCTATGGGGAAGATTATCTAGATTCTCAGTCCATTTATTTCAGATCCATTCTGGAGGCATTTGCTGTAGCTCCTTACTCACAAAGAGCTCAACATCTTTTATTCTTAGCTATTTATCTGGCCTCCATTCCTGTAGTATCTGAGCGTCTCTCATTCTTTAATGTATGTATTCGCACTGCCCTCTGGGCAGGGCTATTATCCCCAGGCTACAGCTGGGGAACTGATGCAGAGAGAGACTAAGTGACTTGCCCAAGGTCACACAGGGAGTTTGTAGCAACTGAAGCACTGAACTGGACCTAGTTCTTCTGAGTCCTAGGCAAGTTCCCTAACCACGGGACCATCCTTATTCTCTGTTAACACACTAAATCTCACAGCATCCTGTGACGCTTCCTGGGGGGTAGCCAGGGTTATGAGCAGTGTTCCCTCTAATTTTTCCCGCTGCATGGGGTTTAATAGGCAGCTGCGTGGCCACATGCACATGACTTTAAGGGGGACCTCCCTGTACCAGAGATTGCCCAAGGCCACATGCACAAAGGATCTAGCCTTTGTGAGCATAAGTATTGTGGCCCCTTACTTAGAGCCATAGCACTTGTATAATAATATTTCTTAGCTAACCCCCACAACACTCCTGTGGGGTAGGGAAGAATTAATCCCATTCTGCAGTGTAGCCCATAGAGCCTGATCTTGGGACAAATACCTGTCAAACCACAAGGGGATAAATGGAATTCTTAAGCAATCAATATAATTAATGCACAAGCCATAGATAGGGAAACAGGCACAAAGATCAAGTGACTTGAACAAGTCATATAGCTAAACCAGTGGCAGAGTCAAGAATAAAATATAGGAATGTGGACCTGCTCTAACCACCAGACACAGTCCCTCCCACAGCCAGGAAAAGAACCCCGGAGTACTGATGCTCAACCCCTGTGCTAGCCACCAGACCATTCTCTCCATGTTCAGAGTTTCTGATAGCTCTGGGTTGGGGGTGGAGGAGGCAAGTCCTTCTGAATTCATCTTTTCAAGCAAGCCAACACCAACAAAGGATTCTCCTGAAGACTAAACAAACTGGTCTGGAAGGGTCAAACTCTTGTTTCTCCTGAAATCAATGGCAAAACTGCAGGTAACTCAAGTGGGACTATGATCTGGCCCAAATTGAGTAGCAGAGAGATGAGAAAAAGCTTCCTCGGCTCAGTGTTTTAAACTAGACAACAAAAGGCTCGGTGGTGGTGAGATTTTATCTGTGTAATTTCTTGTAACAACACCCTGGCAAGGTCTGAACATCAGTCAGAGAGAAGCATTTGTATTTGTGTGTTAAACATCTCACAAATAAATCTCTCTCTCTTTTTTTTTAAGATGTAACAAATAGACCTGCAGCACAAACAGAGAGGTGGGGATGGGGTGCCCAGGACTGGAATAGCGGGGGTGGGGGGCTGTGAGTTAAAATTGAGGTGCACTGGCAGAGCTGGGGAGGGGCCAGGACTGGAATAGCAGGGGAGTGTTAGGATTGAGGTACATTGATATTGCTGTGTGTAGGAAGCTTGCACAGACCTCACCTGTAGTTTGCCTGCCTCTTGCCAGTCCTCTCAGCACCTCCCTTTTCCCAGAGGTTTGCTGCTACTCCAAGTCTTTCGTTGAGTCTGGTAGATCTTAGCATTTTACCTCTTCCTCCTCCCCCTCTCCTTCAAAGGCCCCATGCTGTGACTTTCCTTCCAGGAAAGAGGAGCCGAAACTTCTGAGTCACTTATTGCTGCTTCATGCATCCACTGGACGGGGATCAATGTGACGTGCTCCTTCTTCCCTTCCTCTGCTTAAGCATGCTGCCTTTGCACCATTCTTGACCCTTGAACTCAGATCCTTTTATATGATGGCCATTCATATTCATAGATTCCAAGGCTAGAAGGGATCCATTGTGATCATCTAGTCCATGGGTGGTGAACCTACAGCCCGCTTCATTTAATCCAGCACCGTGGACCAGAAGCCCCGAACCTGTTCCTGTGGCCCCTAGGTGCAGGGGCGACCAGGGAAACTCTGCACGGCTCCACTGCTCCCATTGGCTGGGAATGGCGGGGGGCGGCACCTGTAGGTGCGGGCAGCATACACCATGCAGCGCCACCTGGCC